GAGGGTGGGGAGGGTAATAATGTCATTTTGCGACCGATGCCTTCCAAATCCGGCGACAACCACTACAGCTTCTCTGCAGCTCCAATCAACCGGGAAAAAGAGAAGGTACATTTTTTGAATTTTGTGCCCTATATTTTAAAATTAGTTAAACTCGTAAATTTTTTGTTTTAAATATATTTTTAACTTTTATTTTTTTATCAAATAAGTTCTTAAGACTGAAGAGTCCATCTGTTATTTATTAAAAAAAAAAGAATTAAAAAGACCTATGTGGTCCGTTACCTTTATTTAAACAACCATTTATATTTGAATTTTAACATGTAAAAATTAGTTTGATGTAGCTTAAAATTTATGTTAAAAGAACAAGTCTAGCTCATAAATTTCTAACGCTAAAGTGAGTATAACTCAACTGTAATTGACATATACTTTATGAGTTAGATTCCATACTTCCGCAGGAGCATAATCGATTTTCTGGTTAAATACATTACGAGATGTTTTTCCATACTTTCCGCATTCAGTTCTAGCTATTTCCGCGCCTTCTGATCGACCTGAACAACATATACGGACCCCCTCAACCCCTTTTTTCATTACTAATAGGAATATCCTTCACTATTTTGAGTCCCCTCCAACTTGTATTTGGTAGGTCATTATTGAAAGTGTCAAACAAAATCTCCCATCTTTTATTTTATTTGACATTTTCTTTTAATTTATAAACCTTTTAAACACAAAGTTCCAAGTTGATGAGTCTTTTGGACGTACCCTTTTTAAAGTTCAATACTTATTAAATACAATCTTGAAAGTGTAGAGATTAAAGTTGTAATTTAACCTAAGATTTACGAGGATGCAACATTGCCTTGAAAACTAGCTAGATTGAGTAATAAAATCTAAATTGTTAGAAGAAAATTAGAACGCAAATTGATATGATCCAACGACTTTTACTCATTTGCTGTTCTCAAACAAATGCAAAACAGGAGCTAGATGACACAGCAATGGCAGAATTCAGAGGCAAATGGGGAGAAACAGTTGAGTACACAGAGAAGCCGAGCAGCAACATCGTTGAAGGAGTGGTGGCTATCGGAAAGGAAGGCGGTTACGATCTTATCGTGGTCGGGAAGGGTCGTGTTCCATCGACCATGGTGGCGAAACTAGCAGACCGCCAAGCGGAGCACGCCGAGTTGGGGCCGGTAGGGGACATATTGGCCAGCTCCGGCAGGGGAATAGTATCTTCAGTACTAGTAATTCAACAACATGGAGGAGCTACTCATTCAGAAGAAACTCCAGTTTTAAAGATAGCACAAGCAAATGAGAATAAGCAGCCATTGTCAGCCGATGAAGCTTCAAGTCATGTATAAAATCGCAAGTGTTCAACTTTGGTACATATTTCAAGTGATACATTAGGATTTGGCAGTTAATTGGATCAATTCAGTCGTATATCCCATAGAAAATAGTCGTAAAAAAAAAAAGGTGCTTCGATCATAGTTCAATACATGATCTTAATAATACTTCCGGCATCTTTAAAAACAAATCCATATCTCGTGTTCTTAACTATACTTTAATTTTTGTAATATTGTATCCTTTATAGTTAAAATTTTGTAATAATTTAATGTCCACGGAAGAAATCTCATCTAGGTAAAGTATCAATTTTAGCCTTCAACTTCGTAGCTTCTATTATACCTTCAACGAAAATTTTTACAACATGATCGATACAAATTTTAACTCTAAGAGGACTGTTATTATTACATACTAAGCTCGAAACGTTGAAAATTTTAAAATAAAGGATTAAATTGTTACGGATTCAGCCAATTTTCTGATAACAAAAGAGAATTCCTTAGATTTGTTTTATTTGCTCACAGACCCGCAGCCGCAAGGGACAGAAATGAAATTTAAGAAATTGGATGGTGTTAAATTGTCTATGAAAATAACAGGTGGAGTAGAAGGGTTAAAAGAAAGAAAAAACGTTTGCAAATTCATAATTCCGTATGTATATAGTGGGTTGGGCTTACATACATTGAGGCCCAATATCGGCCCATTAGATTACATCATCGTCGGCCCATAGGCCGAAGGCCCTAACAACGCAAGCGGACCCGGCCACTACAACCGCAGCGAAAATCGGGGGAACGATCAGATCAATCCTGGATTTCCTAAAGAGAAGGTCCGGCACGCAAAGCACGTCTCCCGGCAAATCCATCGGAACCCTAACGAGGCCTCCGCCTCCGCCTCCGACTCCGGCCTTGCACTGTGCAGCAAACGACGACGACGGCGAAATCGCCGACGCAAAGGCGAGCTCCGGCGCGAAGGAGGCAACGGCGACCGTCAGCGTGAGGAGAATCGTCCAGGAGGCGGAGTAGACGAGCAGCGGCCACCGCGATCTGAGACGCCTGAACAGAAATCGGAGCATTTCTTGAGGAACGGCTTCTGCGACTGAGGATTCCGATTGGAAATTTGTGGTGAGGTAAGTAGAGATTTGGTTTCATAGATGAGCTAAATAATTACTTACAGGCGAGAGATTGAGAGAGAGAGACGATGGATTTGGTTTTGACTGAGCTTTGTTGACGCATTGAGTGGTTGAAACTTTAAATGGAGAAGATATCTATGTGCTTTGGGATCATCAACTGGTCATTCCAATTGACTGATTTTTCCTTTTAACAAAACAAAAATTAGTTTAATATATATATATTTTATGTTTCTTATAGAAAAGATAATAATAATGTTTTTCATTTTGAGAATTACACATAAAATGGGGGGCACATGTGCAATTCAAAATAGATGTCGAAGTAGGTTGAAAAAATTGGTGGTGTTTGGTGTATATATTTGTGTGGTCGGGTTATAGAAGTTTTCGGTAGAAAATAAATCAAAATTTATCCCAAATTAGCAAGAGACAACTATTCGATTTTTACCTAATAGTAATTTTTTCTTTTTCGTTCGAAGAGTTATTTAAAATAAAACTATTCTCATAGGTTTAATCGATCGATTAGAGTTACAATCTGTTGGTGTAATTTTTGGGAAACTCGTATTGGGTCAAAGGTCGGGTCGACCCARTCGAGTTATCCAAGAAGGTTGATGGAATGAAGATKGGATCTGTAGATTGGTAGAGTTGGGATCTGCAACAAGAGAGAAGATAAAAGAATAAACACCAGTCTGGTATCAACGAACCACACTCTGATGTTGTAAGAGGAGAAGAGATGAAATGAGCAAGTCTTGGTCAAATTGCTCATACTCATTTCTATTTATAGCTTTTGACGGCAGTATGAATGGGATGGGCTCTTGGAAAGTTAATGGAGGCAGTCAAAGTCAAATTCCACACAATATCCCTCTCTATAGACCAATAGCTGCACAAAAATGGCAAGTGGGTCCCCCGTGTCTGAAATTCGCACTATGGCCAAGCCTAAAGTGGTACCATAAGGATAGGAGATAATGTCCAAATTTACAAATTTTACAGTTTTAGATTTCTAGATTTAAGATTTTTTTCAAATGTCAAATTTGCCTGTCGTTTATATTTATTATAATTAATCTTTTATTTAAATGCAAAAGATTCATATTCTAAATTTGATTTTGTAAACATAATTCCCCAATTTACTCCTTTAACATATTATACTAAAGAATATATATTCTACTGAAAAATGAAATTTATTACAAAATATTCAATTATTCTCATAATCCCTAAATTTACTCCTTAATATACTCTATTAAATAATGAAATTTATTACAAAATATTTTTTCATTTCATTACAATTTTTTTTGGCCAAATTTCAATAATATAATCATTATAACATACACACATATATATATGTAGATATAAACTATATCCGGCTACCTTTTCATTTATATGAAAATATAAATTATATCCGGCTATAAACTTAARCAACATACACTTGATATAAACTATAGTCATTATAACATACACTTTATATGGAGATATAACCTATATTTGGCAATAAAGTATATACGATTATATCCCTCTACAATTAACAAACAAAGCAAATAACCTACAAACCTTTTGGTCTGCGACTAGACAATGGTCGGGATAAACGGAAGGCTCGAATGGTTGACAGGCGACCAGTGACAAAAAAGAAACCTCGAGATAAACAGACGGAAACAATGGACGGCCAGAGATGAATGAATGAACAGAAACATAACAACAAAGGAAGAAGAAAAGTGGGAGGAGGAGGTTTTCGAATTTTTTCCATAATGGAGGATTTTGGGGATTTAGAATGTAACCTCAATTTTAGATTTTAAAAATTAATTAATATTGAGGTGAGATAAAAAAGATATATTATTAAATTGAGTGATGGGTAACATCTTAAATGAAATTGTTTCATGACGAAAGTGTAAATTTTATATCATTCAATTCTTTTATGTAATTATASTGTCTAAATAGTCTATTAATCCCTATTGGTAGTGGCTAAAAAAGTACTTAGAAAAGAGTTGGCGACCCAATGGGCCACACAAAATGAGGGCCCACATTTTTTGCAGTGGATCGCCAACTCTTTTCTAAGCGCTTTTTTTAGCCACTATCAATATGGTACCACTTTATGCTTCGCCATAGTGCGAATTTCAGACACGAGGACTCACCCTTTTTGTGCATCCATTGGTACTTCTATAGAGGGGGATATAGTGTGGAATTTGACTTTGACCGACTCCATTGACTTTCCAACGCTCATTCACACTGCCATCAAAAGCTATAAATAGAAATAAGGTACGTCATTATCTCTTAAGCAATTCAACCCAAGACTTGCTCATTTCCTCCCTTCTCCTCTTAAGCTTATCAACTGACTTAAGCATTGRAGTGTGGTTGGCTGACACCACACCGGTGTTTATTCTCTTTATCTTCTCTCATGTTGTAAATCCACTCTACCACTCTACGAATCCAATCTTCCTTCCATCAACCGACGGTCGATTTCTCGGATAACTCGATTCGGTCGACCCGACCCGGAATCCCCAAAAATTCCATCAACACAATCGATTTTGTACATTAATCAAACTAAATTTTGTGCCAAGTTTAATTTCATGGAAATTTGTGAGTTTTATAGATGATTATTTATGAGTTAGAATTAGTGGGTCAATTAGAATAAATTGATTTTTTTTTTAAGTTTTTCTCCTAAATTTTTATCCTAAACTTTAAATAGAATTGTAATTTTTTTTTCTTCAATTTGAATAAATGTTGTAATTTTTACATGACATATTTTTCATTCAAACAATCTGTTCGATTAATCATAAAATCATAAAATCTATATCCGGTATGAAACTGATAGGATTTTTAGAAAATAAAGTTTTTTTTTTTTTGTATATTTAGAATTTGTGACTTTTGCTGAAGTTATTTTGAGTTTTCACTCCCACTGAGAAAAAGGGAAAAACTTGGCTTTTAATAAATACCATTTAAAAATTATAAAAGAAATAATAAGTTGTCAAATAGTCAAGGTGTTTCCTTCTTAGGGGTCAAGTTTTTTTCCATTAAAAATAATTGGGTATAGAGAGATCTTCCACTGCTTTTTTCGGTTTTTTCGGTCAAAATTAGTTTCTGAATTTAGACATTAATAGCTCCAGGAGAAAGTTATTTAACATGGTTGACAATATTAGGTTAAATTAAAAATTCAGTATATGAAATTTTGATTAGGGTGTTTATTTGGTCTCTAAACTTCAAAATATTTCAAATTGTATCTCAATTTTTTATTTTGATTATAATATATCTTTATATAACACAACATCAAGATATGATTCTTGGATAAAATAAGAGTTTTTTTTTTTCCAAGTTGGAAAGTGTTGATTAAGCTGGAATTTTTGGACATTTCTAATTGGCATTTTATCTAGTTGGTTTATTCTTGCTTACCATGTCTTATTCTATTTTGCTTTGCCATCATCATTTTATATTCTAGTCAATAGGTGAAATAAACACACACTTATTCTTTCTTAAGTAAAAAATTCAGATATATAATTATAATCTTTCAAAGTTTAAAGATGTTTGAGTAGCTAATGGAATGACTAACTTGTCATTTCTTAAAAAGATTATTTGGCACGTAATTACTCACTAATTAAGGCATTATTGACTAAAAGATCTAATATGAAAATTTTGAAGAATTAAATGGGAAAAGTTGGAAAAAAAAAAGTGAAGCAGAAACACTGCCATTTTGTTCCACCGGCGATTGAGGAGCGAGAGGAATTTGTGATACCTCCGCCTCGTCGCCTTCGATACCATTCGAAAACCCACCATAGCCATATCGCATTAATATTAAATATTAATAAACCAATTTCCACCACACCAATGCCTGATTCCATTTTGGAACTTGATTCTGAGGCAGATGCCAACTTTTCAATGGAATAATCCAACCCCAACTTGAACCCAACGAATGCAATTCCTTTTGTTTTCAATTCTATAAGTTTTATTGATTTTTCTTTTTTCTTGAGGGGTGAAATCGAAGGCCAAAAGGCAGAGGGCACTGTCGTTTCTCTTCAATTTTTTCTTTTCCTTTTTAAACTTTTTACCCTTTTAATTTTGTCCTATTTAATAGTCCAACCAATACTTCATTAAGTGTCGCACCAATTATAAACCATGTGGCCAAATTTGTTTCTTTTTTAGGATTTTTGCTGATGTTATAGAGCAAACCAGCATAGTGGTTCATGCGAGAAGCATTGATAAACACACGAAACTTCTATTCAAAGTAAGATCCCTTGCTAACAAAATTGACATTATATCACCTCATTTCCGGGTAATGTTGGACAGCTGTTGCAAGGCGAGAGGGCCACGTGTATGATTTGATTTTGCTGGAGCATGCAATAATTTGTCCACGAGTGAGGGGTTGGTCTGGATTGTCCTATAAATGGTCCATCTGCTTTGTCTTCCCTCGTCCGCGCTCCACTCTCCACTCTCCACTCTCCAGTTTCCAGTTCAAAGAAGGAAGAGTGAGTTTGTTGGTAACAGAGTTTGAATTTGCAGAGAGAATAAATATAATATAATAAAACCTTACGAATCCGATCGATGACGGGCATGGGCGTGAACATAACCTCCATTAAAACCGCCTCCGATGGCGTCTGGCAAGGCGATAACCCTCTCCATTTCGCCTTCCCTCTCTTAATTCTTCAGTCCACTTTGATCCTCCTCGTCACCCGATTCCTCACTCTCCTCCTCAAACCCCTTCGCCAGCCCAAAGTCACCGCTGAAATTCTCGTACTCTAATTTCTCATTTCATCCATTAATTGTGGTTCATTTTCATTGTCTAATCAATCGGATTATTAATTGTCCGTTGATTAATTTCAGGGCGGGATTCTGCTGGGGCCGTCCGCTTCTGGAAGGAGCAAGGCGTATTTGGATCTCGTTTTTCCTCCGTGGAGCACTCCGATTCTCGAATCCGTCGCCAGCATCGGTTTGCTCTTCTTTCTGTTTCTCGTCGGCCTCGAACTCGATTTCTCCTCCATTCGCCGCGGCGGAAGGAGGGCTTTCGGCATAGCCTTCGCCGGCATTTCCGTCACCTTCCTCGCTGGCGTCGGCATCACCTCCGTCTTCCGCAGCACCGTCGACGGCGCCGATCAGGTCGGCTACGGCCAGTTGCTCGTCTTCATGGGCGTCGCTCTCTCCATCACCGCCTTCCCCGTCCTCGCCCGCATTCTCGCCGAGCTCAAACTCCTCACCACTCACGTCGGAGAGACCGCCGTCGCCGCCGCCGCTTTCAACGACGTCGCCGCCTGGATTCTACTCGCCCTCGCCGTCGCGCTCACTGGCGGAGGCGGAGGAGGCAGTGGGGCCCAAGGGAGCCTGTTGGTTTCCGCGTGGGTCCTACTTTCGGGAGCCGGGTTTGTGGTTTTCATGATGGTAGCGATCCGACCCGCGATGGACCGGGTCGCCCGACGCTGCTCGCACGGGCACAACTCCGCCGACGATGCCTATATTTGTTTGACCCTAATCGGAGTTATGGTTTCGGGTTTCGTGACGGATCTGATCGGAATCCATTCGATTTTCGGAGGGTTCATATTCGGGTTGACGATTCCGAAAGGTGGGAGGTTCGCGGAGAGATTGATTGGGAGGATTGAGGATTTCGTTTCGGATCTGCTTCTTCCGCTGTACTTCGCATCGAGCGGGTTGAAGACGGACATAGCGAAGATCCGCGGCGGGAGGGCGTGGGGGCTGGTGGCGCTGGTGACGTTGACGGCCTGCGCCGGAAAGATTCTGGCGACATTTGCGGTGGCGATGGCGTTTCTGATGCCGGCGAGAGAATCGCTGACATTGGGCCTCCTTATGAACACAAAGGGCTTGGTGGAACTCATCGTCCTCAATATCGGCAAGGAGAAGAAGGTCAGTTCAAATCTCCACTAATTCTTTTTTTCAGTTTTATTATTCGGTTCATTTGATTTTTTAAAAAAGTAATTTAAGAGTTCTAATTTTGTTTGTTACTATTATAAATTGTTTTAAAATCTAATTTAAAAATTTATTATTATTATTTTTTTTGAATTCGGACCAAGATTCTGAAAACATGTTTGAGAAATCTAAGTATAACTTTAAAAATAAATAACAAAAAAATGAAATAGTTATTAAATAGGAATTTAACGTTTGACAAAATTAAAATGATTAAAATGATAGAAATCAAATTAAAACTATAATAATTTAATTAGTCATTTAATTCATTATTTTTAATGAAGGTATAATAGAAAATTAATATGTAATTTCAAATAAAGCTCAACATTTGAAATTTTATAAAAATATCATAATTCAAATTAACTTAAATTCAAAGGTAACATACAAACCACCCAAAAAAAAAAGGTCACACTTATTTACATTTAAGAAAAAGAATAAAAAGTTGAGATAAATTTAAAGATATATAATAAATTTATGTTATAAAATAAAACTTTTCTTTTATCATCCATGTTTAGATGCAAGTTGAATTACAAGTTTATTCTTCAAATTTTCAAAGATTGTATCGGGTATATTTTATAATTTCTGTTTATAACTTATTTTCAGACAAGTTAGGCGACATATGCTTAATAAATTCTTAAATTTTTTATTTTGYGTAAGTCAGTGATATTTCCAACATTTTTTTTAAACTCGCGGGTTTATTAGACATACAATTAAATTTGACGTCTTATCTATTACAATCTTGAACTTTCGATTTTGTGCTTAATTGGTATTTGTTAAATTGATCCTTACATTTTTTTTAAAATATTCGATAGCTCAATGACATATTAAACGCAAAATAAAAAATTTAAACATCTATTAGACATTATGACCTACTCGACACAAATTTGAAAGTTTAAATGTATGTTAGATAATTTTTAAAAATCAAAATTTTTGTATWGACAAATCTTAAAAGTTCAGAGTTTATAATTTAAGTTGAATTTTAATCTCTAAAAAGAAGAAAGAATAAAATAAAGAAGAATTTTAGAAGAATACTATTATAGCATTAATATATATTATATATATAATTTGGGTATCGATTTGGATAGTTCTCCACTCCCATCAATCATTTTACAATTTTGAAAGATTTCCTCTTTATTAGGTAAGATATGATTCAACTCCAATTGGATTGGAGTCCTAGGATTAGGACCATGATTGGTGGTTCCACTTCCCACTTTGCCATTACAGTTGGTGTAATGTTAAAGTATTTAATTTACCACATTAATTAAGTTATTCTTTTATATACACTAACAATTGGGGCTTTATTAAATATTATTTTCTCCATTTTCTAATTTAAAATTTTCAAACATATCCCCTTCCTTCCACTTGGTTTTTTCTTTTCTTTCTTTCCTTTTTAAAGTCATAATGGCATGTTATGTTATTCTTTACCTTTACACACTGCATTTTAGTGGACTTGCCGTTAAATATTTTAGTCACCACTTTATCACCCGTACAATATTAATCAATTAAATATTACGTTTAATTACATCTTTTAGTCTCCTTTGAGTATTTTTTTTTAGTACAATAAGTAGGGAGCAGCAGTATTATTTCCATTTAGTATCTATTGTTTTAAAATTTTTAATTTAGTTCCTTGTGTTTTTAACATTTTTTAATTTAGTCTCTCTTTTTCGATAAATTGCTAAACTTCCATAACATAATAATCAGTGAGGTAGCTGAGTTTTTTTTTCCTAGAAGGAAGTAAAATAGTGAGAATTTAGAGGAGGAAAAAAGTAATCTAAGAGAGAAATTTTCAAATTCCTCCCCAATTTTTTTTTTTTAATTAACTAAATATTATGTCGGGTAAATTTATCATTAACCAATTTTGACAATTCATTAATGGTTAATCTAGTCATATCTAATAGATCTCTAATTTTTTTTAGAAAAAAAATGCCTAATAATTCTCTAGACTTTCAAAACCTCATTGGATACCTTCAAGAACTTTTAGATACAATTTGAAAATTTTGAGAATTATTAGACACTTCTTGTTCAAATATAGATATAATCCTAAAAATTTAAGCTGAATTTAATAAAATTATGTTGGCTTCCTTGCGATATTACACTATATATTTTTACCTTTTTTTAATAGAAATAAATTTCTAAAACATATTTATTCTAGTTCTCAAACTATGGTTTTTTTTTTTTTAAGAATATACATAACAGAAAGTAAAAAAAAAAACAACTAAAATTATAACTTAACCTAAATTAAAATACAAAGTATGAAATGAAAAGTGAATGGCTCGGTAACGTTTCCGTTTTTTGTTTATTGTTTCTAATTTTCTTAAGAAATCCAAACATTTTGCAAATAATATATGTTTTTTATTTTTTTTTTAGGAACATTCTATTGTATAGAAATGTTAAAAACGGCTAAAACAAATTCGATTGATTTGTCACTCAAATATTGGGATCATGTAATCTATTTTCCATTATAAAAAATGAACAGACACACGAGAAAGTAATGTTAGTTAGAAGTGACATTGTTTTCTTGCTTGTTGCAAAAACAAACAGGTTCTGAATGATGAAGTATTCGCCATTTTAGTGCTAATGGCGCTCTTCAATACTTTCATCACCACCCCTTCTGTCATGGCGGTTTACAAGCCGGCCCACGGCGTCTCCACCCGAACCCACCGGAAGCTCTGCGACCTCTCCTCCTCCGCCGCCGCCGACGGCTGCAAGGTGGACGAACTCCGAATCTTGGGTTGCGTCCATGGACCCGGGAATGT